TTCCCCCATTGTGCTTTCTTCTTATTCCCCGTTTCGCTCCTCTTCTTTAACCATCCGATTATATTTCTATCTATACTTACTCCTTGGTTCTCGGCTTGCAAAGAGGATAGCTATTCTCCTCTTCGCCCCGCCCTAGTATTTCCGTCGGCTTTCTCCCTCTCTTCAAGTCTTTCCTTGACGGATTGGTTTTCCTTCGCTCATTCGCCTCTCCGGCTTCAGCGTGACCACGAGGCTATGCTAGCTTTGCAAATCACCCGACGGAAACTGGAACTCTTCTGATTTGGTCGTAACCTGCGTGTACTGTGACCAGAACTTGGACTCCGCATTTTCTTTTTTCTTTTTTTTTTTTTTTTTTCCCTTTTCCTTTTTCTTTTCTTTTCCGTTGTTATCCTGGTCGTCTTACTCATTTACGAATCCACACACGCAAAGACAAACATACGTACATACAGATACACATACATACGGGCTGCATACATACATTTTACCGATACATACTCGCTCATACGTACGACCGGACACACGCACCGTCACCGAGACCCCTGCCCTGTCTTTCCTTGACAAGTTGACCAAACAACAGCATTGGGCGTGACTTGCGACTCACATCATCCTGCATTCGCCTCTTATTCTCAGCCCTTTCCCCCATCCTTTTCCCGCTCTCTTAAGCAGCCTCGCCTCGTCCTCGCCTACAAATGTCCACCAACCCCCACGAATTTGGCGACCCTAATCGACAGGGACAGTATCCACCGCCTCCCCAGTGGAACTCTAGTCAGCCTGAGGATAATCCAGCTCCAGCTCACTATCCGCCAGCATCTCAATACCCTGTGAGTTTTATATATCTCGGCCTATCCTTCCCCGTTGCTTTCGTTGCACTATTTAGCTACATTCTTGGCCAGACGACGTGCCACTAAGAGCTTTGCTGTTTCTCGTTCCTGTTCACATATACTCCCATTGAGCAACCGAGCTTGACGAAAGCTCTTTCTTCATATTCAGACTGACCGCTTCAGTATCCTCCGGCCTCATATCCTCCTCCTCTAACCGCAGACCACCCGTATCCGCATCCACCACCACCCCCGTCACAGTACCCGCCTACCTCCCACATGGCCACCATCCACCCTCATGTGCAAGGTACCCAGGACCCTTACAGACTCCCTCCTCCACCTGGCGCCTACCGCCCTCAGGATGTCTACGCTCAGCCAGCTCCTCCACCGCAGCCTCAAGTTGTATACCAAGCCGCGGCTCCTAGACAGCGGACCGCTATAGCCTGTCGTTACTGCCGCAGACGCAAGGTGCGTTCATTGCCCGAGGAGTATTTGCTGGCACATTCGGTTCCCACTTGTCAGGACCTTGCTGACAGTCGTTTTCTGATTCCGACAGATTCGATGCTCGGGATTTGAAAGTTCTCAGGATGGGCGCTGCAGCAACTGTATCCGTTTCAACCAAGAGTGCATGTTCACTCCGGTCTCGTCCCAGGCACAGGCATTTGTACCGGCACACGCTGCCTATCCTCATCTCAGAAACCCTCAAAACGGCCGCGCTGGTCCTCCAGTGATGCTCTATGGGGCCCACGGCCAGCCTTTGCCGCCTCAACAGCAGCCTCAGCCCCCTGCCGATAGTACCCTTCCGCCGCCTCAAGGAATGTACCAACATCCATACGGAACCGCACCGCCACCCCTTGCATCCGCTGTGCCCGCAGACCATGTAAGTTGCAAAGTAGTTCCCATATTCATGTGAAGCTCGGAGACTCGGGATGCCAATAATATCTTACAGAGACCTGCCGGCCGACGCGGCTCTGGCTCCGGTTTCGAGTATCCTGACCCCACCAACCTTGCGCCGGTAACCCCAGCCACATCAGCGCCTGCCTATCAGGCGCACGCCGCTCCCAGTCCGTACTACCCCCCTCCGCCGCAGCATGATCGGCGTCCCTCGCCGCAATCTGCCTACCCGTACGATAGCCGTCACTCCTCTTCCCCACACAGCTCCCCATATCCTCCTCTGCATACCGCTCCGACTGCGATGACTCCTCCACCGACCTCAACTCCTGGAGGTTCGGTCAGTTCGTCTCGAGGTGGGCTGAATGTTCGTGATATGTTGAATCCCGGTGACAGCCAGGGTCGTTCCAGCACCGATAGCGATATGCTAAATGCGCTGAACCGTCGGGGCCTCAACCAGTAAAGCACTCAGTCCGGAGCGGAGATATAAAACCTACTGGCTGTAGGTCTTTATCTTTAATTCTCGAGGGGTTGGTTGACAAGGTCCGAAGGTTCGCATAGACGGGATAAAATTGATACCACTTTGATATCTGTTCACGAGGAGGATTTCGTGCTGGTCACATCGATTTCACATGATGCGCATAGATGGATCTTTCTTTTGTCGTTTGGGGCTGCATCGATCTTCAGTTGATCTAGAAGAGGGGGTTACTTATGGGCCGAACCCGTTACGTTCCGAAATTTCTGGAAATGCTCAGTGGCACGTCATTTTTTCTTTTTTTTTGGTGAAGCTCCTGAGACAACGGGTCCCCAAGGAATAACGGATATCGGCGAACATTCTGGTTGAGTTATTTACCGAGGCGGAGGAGGCAAATTGAATTGGGGAGAGGGAACGGACCAGAAATATTCACGCGCGGCAAGAGCGTGAAATGGTGAGTTAATGAGGGAGAGGGGGCTTCTTAATCGAAGAGAGTGAATGAGGAGACTTGGCCACAGCAATGCCGTGATCAAAATCGCGACTCGAAACGAGTCCATGGAAACGAGAATCAAGAGTGTTATGAATTCCACGAATTAGACATTGGGATTGAGGGTCATGACTGTCTTCTGCCGGGGGCTTTTCTCCTTGACAGCTGCTTATACTGAGAAAGTCGGTGATCTCACATTCTTCGACTTCTCTAACTTATCAAACATCGTCTTTCCACGAGCACCGCCGCTTTCATAAACGACAGGGGCGACCCACTAATGGATATCTCCTTCGGCTTCGTTTTCCTCTTGTTTTCTGCCTTGATGCATCGTCATGTTAATGATCCCTCTTCTCGCTGGTTTCCGTTTTCAGGCGCAGGTTCGGTAACTGTGAGAAATTGCATGGACCCAGCGATTTGTCTCGTATTGCTCTGTGCGGGCATGTCCTCGCATGACTCAGCCCCTCTTGACGCTCCGGTCCCCTGAGTGCGACTATTCAAGCGTTCTTTGACGCGTGCTCTATTGACATGAGTGGTTAGCATTGCACTGCATCGACCTGTTGTTTTCACATTTTTAATATTTCCTTCTCCGTTTCTCCCTATGCAGCGACGAGTGTTGGCGGCTTTTGTGATTATCCAGTGTTCATTACATTTCGGGTGGCTGTCTGTCTTTTGCGTTCCTGTCAAACGTTGCGTTCGTCCTTTGCGTTTTGTTTCTCGGAGGTACTCAAGTGTTTTAACTGCAAAAACGGTGGTCGGCTTTTTGAACTATTTGTATTTCCTTTTTGTTCTATCTGCTTCATATCTGGGTGGCTGTCTGATCAATTTATATTGCAAATCTGTAACATGTTTAGTATTTGCTATATTTGTGCAATTGGGCATTGTTCACGGTAGTAACGTGTGTGCCAGTCCCTTTGAATGGTCATATTTGTTTATGGAGCTGTTCTCGGCCTTGAGTGACTGCTCAAGCTTTGAGCCTTTACTAACTAGGCTGAGCAATCGTGCCGTAGGGGTACCTATTCCATAGTCAGAACCTGATATTTCCGAAAGGAAAGATCCACCCGCCACAGAATCAGTTGCCCCTAGCCGGCAAATATCGCGAAGCCTCGCATAGGCTCGTAGTATAAACAATAGAACCAGCTCCCCGGCCGCATGACAGTCCCCTGCGCTAAAGTCGATGTCTGTGTACCGGAGTTTAACTGATGTTGTTCGCTCAAGTCGGAATGATATTCAGTCGACCAATGCTTCAAGCAATGTGATGTTAACCCAGTTCCTGTATGGATCTCAAATAGAGGGGATCCCAGTACGTATGTAATCACAGCTCCTCCAAGCTTTAAAGCCGCAAGGCCCCACTCCACTTAAGGTAGTGGCCGAGGCAGCCCGAGTCGGTAACGGCCCGTTGCTAACCTAGGCACGTCGCATACCTGCCTCAGGTGTTAGACGTAGTTAGCTGTAGTTAGTATTGAACTTCGATCTTTCATATCACCCACCACCACGTTCGATCCTCCCACCTCCACCCTTTCATTGACACAGAGTTTCTTCTCGTGATAGGTCTTAATTAAGAATTGATTACAATCATCTTTTCTATCTGATTCACCGATCATCTTAATAACACAGACATGTCGACCAGACTATGACCATGGGTGGAGCATATCATACCCACGACAGACGAAGAAATTGTTGAATTTGCCATTGATGACTGGCTCCAGGCTATCTGCCGGAAGATAACTGAAGTACACGGACAATGGTTAGCCAGCAGTTATCGATCAATGGCGCGGGTCGGGTCTAATGAGCTCGAGGCTCGCGCAGATGGAGCTCTGCGGGTGCGAGGAGCCAGACAGAGCCCATGCACTCATTGACTGCAAGGCTATACCTCGCAAGAGGCTCTGCTAGCGGTGCAGTTCGAGGCCCTCAATAACAAAGTTCTTGAGGAAATGGAGTGAGCTGACCAGCAGTACAGAAACAACAAGAACAAAGACCTGAGTCTCCTCGACTACTGGATACTTGGACCTGAAAGACATAGAATGGATAACCACATCCGTTCATGAAATGGCTACACAAATTGTTCGTCAAGGGCCTATATGTACCTTAACTAGAAGAATCAGAGCACATACGACCATAGGGTGTGGAAAACAGGGCTTCCCGTCCGCTCAGCCGTACTTAAGCCACACGCCGGCCGGTTAGTAGTTGGGTGGGTGACCACCAGCGAATCCCGGCTGTTGTATGTTTTTTTGCTCACCTGTATTGCTTCAATTATGCCATTGCTGTCTGGTCTTCCTGTATAAACCCTTTTACAGCTTACGATTTCTTTACATCCAACCCTCATACCATAATGGCCCAACCAGCAGACTCTGGAAATGGAGTCCTATCAATGACTTCTCCCATGACCCCTCATGGCCAACACCGTGGTCACACCCTGAATTCACTGGTACTGACACGGAGCGTTACAAGCGGTGGCGTCAGCAGCCGTGGTTCAAAGATGAGCAGCGCTCTTCTATTGCGACTCTTTCATCGTGCTTACGGCAAATGCTGGCCCTGGGGCTACTTCATCTACCGCACGGTCTACACCCTCGAGTCTGATCAGGTCTGGTCTGCCTGTCTGGAGAAACTCGGGGTCTTATGTGCACTGGGAGATTGACCGCGTCGATGGTGATTGGTATACTGAGGCCGAGGATCAGGATCATGGCTTTCCTGAGAAGCTTGTCCACGAGTCATACAAAAATGTTATCCTTGAGGACAAGGAACGCTGGGACGCTGCATCAATCGAGCAGATTCGCGAGGATTTCAAGGCCCTTATTGCGTCTCGGGCGCTGAGATAGGGGACGTTGTTCCGCGGTATGCAATCTGTCTGGTTATTGATCAACACTGTCTGGATTCAATAATCATGCGTGCTTTTGAGGATCCAGAGGAGAGCAGGCATGGGAATGGGCCAGGGGAGGGATTCATTCTCATTGATTGATCCTGAGTTTGTACGCCGGCACAGAGAAGAAGGGTATTTTGGGTTTATGCGAGTTGAGATCAATGAGCTGTTTTGGCTGACGGTGGAGCTGAACTCGTCCTTCTCGATGAGTGATAGGTGTCTAAGGGTGCAACCGGGCAAGATACCAGTTTATGATGGCGGTCTTGGTTATGCGGTTGATGATCCGTCATGGTCTGGACCTCGGCCAAGAACACCCATCACTCACCGTTCAGTATGCAAAGGGGACTGTCGGGAGCATTTGGGGAAGCAGCCATGAAAAGTAGCTGCAATGGACTTGCTTTGTATATTAAGATAAGGTGCAACACCGCACCACCGTATTCTACAGATGTATGGGAATGGATGTGAGATGATTAGTAGCAAAGGATTCAAGTAGATGATGTGTTGTATTTCCCGGAGTAACACGACAAGATGAAGCTAAATGACACATTGACAGCCAAACATAAGAAAGTGGATGTGATTGCAGAATGCCTATGGATGATTTTGCACAGATTGAGAAAGACCAGAGGGCGGCAGAAACCAAGGAAAAGCCGCTCAAGATACAGAGATGTATAATGCGGTGGATCACACCACCATGCGCCGTAGGAACGGAAATGACATCGTGATATGCTAGGTTAACCATTAGGAAAAGCGTCGAGGATTCGGGCCATCTTCTTCGCACGATCAGGATCCTCGACGAGTAAGCCTCGCTGCTTCAATACCATCTCCAGAGTGTCGACAACCTTGTGGAAGGATGACGCTGCGCCTCTTTCTTGCCTAAAGCGCACAAGACTGAGGTTCGCCTGGCGGCCGTGCTCGAGGACGGTGTAGAACTCGGCGGAGAAATCAACGGCTCGAAGACGGAGACCTTGAAGGGGTTAGAACAATCAAAAGTATCATCCAGTTCTCACTTACAGTTCACTTCGCCCACTTTGGCACGAATGACACCGTTGGCTTTGTCCAAGTGCGCCTCCTCCATACCAAACTGTTTCCATTCCCGGAGTAGCTTCAAAACGTCCTTTCGACCTTTGAGTTTCGATGTGTTGAGAGGTACTACTCTTGTTGCTGGCTTGATCTGGAAGACCCGCGCGAACCAGTTATGACTCTTTCCGTTGGTGTTTGGCCTAGCGGGTGCAGGCTTCTGGTTCTTGTCGGTGTCAAAAGAGTTTTCGGTTTCCGTTGGTCTCTTGAGCAGGGGGTTAGTGTCTGCGAAGTCGACTTCTGAAGATAATAGTCAGCTGGGGGAATCGTTGAGACCCAAGGATAGAAAAGCCTACCTGTTGCACCATTATCGAAGTTGTCGCTGTGTCTCTTCTTCATAAATTTCTTGAAAAATCCACCCTTCTTGTTGTCGGCAGGGCCTTTCGTGTCCTTGGGTTTTTCCGTCTGCTCACCTGGTCCAGAGTCAACTGAAGGATCGATCTCGTGGACAATTACTGTGGCAGAGCTCGGGTGTATTGGTTTGACCGGAGGCGTCTTCGTTTTAGGCTCAGTAGACCCATGCGATCTGTTCCGAAACCAAGACCATTTCTTATTCTCGGGGGTTTTTGTGTCGGACATCCCGGTCAATTTGGGCACTTCTTGAATTGGGTCCAGTTCTGAGAGGAAACGAGTCTGGCGAGAGTCGGCAGACGCATAGCGCTGCGAAGAGCGAATCGGTCTGCCGGTTTCATCCTTGGATTTACTATCCTCGCGTGGTTGAGGAGACTCGTTCGAGGATTGTCTCTTCTTCCGGATATTCAATGGCCTAATCTCTTCCAAGCACTGTTGAGAACTATGAGGAACCATTCTGATTGTGGCTTTCCCATCACCGCTTTGACGTTTCGTCCGGATAGAACTGGCGGAATCTGCATTATGCCTTGTTACGTCTGGGCCGTTTCTCATCTCACTCTCAGCCAAGGAGTTGCTGAGTTCTTCCGAAATGATCGGAAGGTTACCAGTATCGAGTGAAGACCTCTGAAGAGAATCGTATTTAGAGTTGCCGTTGTCCTTAGTCTTGTCTCGCTTTCCGCGCTCCCTTATTCTGTCCTGCGCAATGAGACGATCGAGGTGATTGATGACAGCGGATAGATAGCCTGGGACATTCTCAGTGCCGTCCTGGGTCGAGTGCTGTATTAGCTTGCGACGAGTCTCGGTCAGCTCTGTTGCAGTATAGGTGTTGGGTGATTCCCGTGATATGTTGGATGGCTGGTTCGATTTGATATTGCTTCCTGTAATTTGATTTTGCGAGTCTCCAGCACTGACCATGGAAAGAGAAGTCGCTGGTGTCTCCGATCCAATGCTTGCCGTACACCCTGTAGATAAGGATCCGCCATTGAAAGCCTCTTCACATATCTGGCTGAGTTCATGAGAGACCTTGCGCGCTTCGTCTTTCCAGATAATGTCCGCGTCGCAAACTCTCTTGACTTGAGGGCAGTTTTTAATAGTAACCCCAGATCCTCTAACTACTATAGGTGGTACCGGCAGCAAAGGACTGCCACAACGGTCTGAAAATGGGACGCCGTCCACCTCAGACTTTATGCTGCAGTCGCTTTCTTGCCTGCTAATGCTGGAAGCATTGGCTCGTGCCTTCTTTGGTCTTGCAGACATTGATCCCTGTGAGCGATTCCGGTGGTGAAGAAATAGAACGTTCCGCTTATAGCTGGCAGAGCGAGGTGTAGGTGTCGTATTTGTAACCCGGCGAGCAGATGAGTGGGAAGCCCTTGACTGAAAAGACCTGGTGAAGCTGGCCTTGGACTTCTTGTTGGGCACTATGGAGAAAGGGGAGCTTGGGAGACACTCTATATCCTCAACTTCTTCTTCTTCTTTCATATCATCGTCTAATTCCGGAACAACTTTCGACACTTCTTTGGTATTTGCTTCAGGACGGTTCCGATGGATGGTAACTTGAGCGTACTTTACTTCGGGAGTGGCCACTATATGGCGTGGAGACCTGAATGGGTCATAACTCTTCTCGGTTGCTGAGGATTTGAGGGCTCTGGATGTACTTTGAGGTTGTTTGCTGCTGCTTGTTGTTGTTGAATTTTGACCTTGTCTCCGAGAACCACCTTGCACCCGGGCATGCTTGCGCCTATTTGCAACGGAAGCTGGTAATCGAGAGATGTGGTGGTAATCACTGGCTGAATACTCGAGAGGCTGTCCCTGGTAATTCTCTAGCTGTTCGTTTCTGAACTTGATCAGAGCATTGTAAAACATTCGTTCCTGCGTGGGCCTGTGGCAAGTCGCCTGGTCAGCTCTTTATGTGTCGTAGCTCTTGATTGGAATGGGATACTCACTGAGGATTTAGGACTCGCTCTATCAGGGCCTCTGTTTTGACGCCATGCCACAATGTCTGCAGATTTCTCAGAATATCAATATCAATATCCTGTCTGCTGGGTACTGGTGGCCCGCAATCCTGTGCCGTCAACGGTGGTGCAGGGCCGAGGTAGTGATGTGACATTGCCTGATGGAACTGTTCGTACTTCTTTAGAAGTGGATGCATCCATATTCCATGCATCGTTATGCGGTCTTCTGGTCTCTTTTGCAGGATGCGCTGAATGAGGTCGGCCGCCTCGACACTCAACTCGGGGGGAATGGTGTATTCGCCTCGCTTCACTTGTCGCAGAGTACTTGGAAGATCCCCACCATCGAATGGCAAGTAGCCAGTCAGCAGCGCATACAGAATGATGCCGCAACTCCAAATGTCTGCCTTGTCTCCACGGTACTTTCGACCATAAATGATCTCCGGCGCAGCATAATGCGGGCTTCCGCAGGAGGTATTCAACCAATGTCCAGCTGGCTGAAGCGCAGCCATACCGAAGTCAGCAAGTTTGACATTGCGCCAGGAATCCAGCAGTATATTCTCCGGCTTCAGATCTCGATGACAGATGTTGAACCTGTGGCAGTATCCAAGTCCTGCAATTATCTGTCGAAACAAGCGAACTGCCTCTTCCTCCGGTAACGGTCCGTGGTTTTGTACATAATGGAATAGCTCGCCGCCTTGGACATACTCTAGAACCAGGTATCTAGAGACGGAAGGTCAGTTTCTAGTAGTTTCTAGTAGTAGCCACTTGATCCTGTACTTACAGTTCTCCCCGGTTCTCCCACACATCGTACAGGCTGATTACGTTTGGATGCTCAATGAGTTTCATGATGACGACCTCCCGCTCAATGCCGGACGGCATTTGTCTGGTGCCCGTACCACTAAAGAGGCTCGCATTGCGGTCCATTGCTGCAATGCTTTCGCTCTGGGCAATTGCGGCAGACCTCTTGGATACAATCTTGATGGCCGCGGTCTGGCCGGTGACTGCATGTTTGGCCAATCTTACACGGCCCGTGGCCCCTTCCCCCAGTGTCTTCCCCAATTGCCATGGCCCAACGTGTGTTTTCCTCTTTCCCTTCCCAGAGACATTGGAAGTCGTAGAGATTGCTGAGTTCCTTTTCGAGCCGGCTTGAGAGTTCGGATTTGGAGAGGCGCGGTTTATCTCCACATTTTCTCTGGTTGCCAACGGGCTTGTGACGATAGACATTCGGTCTGGTGTTTTTAGCAGATCTTCTACTTCGGTATGTGATCCTTTTTCAATCTTTGGAGTAGCGCAGTTGTTCAGTCTATGCGTGGCATCCGTCAGAGGAGGACGGAAGGACTGAGGACTGGCAGTAATCCCATCCATCGCCAGGCAAGCCCGGGCTAATGAAGCGAGACAGGCTTGTTACAATGCCACATGAGGAGATGCTCTTTGCTATTTGCGATGATATAGTCTGCTTGAGCCTGATTTCCGCGACTAGTCAGCGAAATGTGGCTTGCGATTTCACTAGTTCTGAGTACAGACTAACATTCAAAACGGACGTGTTGACTTGGTATTGCTGCTCGTTGGAACGGCTACC